TTGAAGCACCTAACTAGCAAAAGAAAAATTACGTAATTAGTCTCTCTCTCTCGTACAATTGAATTTTCGAACTTCTGTATAATTTCGGAAATAGATCTACTTAGAAAAATCAAAGGAGCGAGAAAAAAGTTAATTGGGGTAAAAAAGTGAAATATTAGACTTACTATTTATCTGTTGATTGTTTGTATATGTATTCTAGTTAATTGGTGTAAAAAGGTGAAATATTAGACTTACTATTTATCTGTTGATTGTTTGTATATGTATTTTAGTTAATTGGTGTAAAAAGGTGAAACATTAGACTTACTATTTATCTGTTGATTGTTTGTATATGTATTCTAGTTAATTGGTGTAAAAAATCATTTAAGACATATATTAACTATAAGTTTTATATACTTACAACAGAAAACTCGTTAGAGTTTCAACTCTTTACCAGCAGGCTTCTAGTTGCCTTTACTGGATTCTATGGCGACTGATAATTTAGACAACTTCCAATCGTTATTGTACAGTATTAGATTACCTGAGTCATTGACCATTTCTTACATACATATTCAACGGAATATTAACCCCAAACCATCACGCTGAAACCACCATGCTTCACAGTTGGCTGTAATCTGTTGAGCCAAAACTCTTGGTGAGACATGCTTCAGACCCACATCCTTCCACTGTCCGAAAATTGAGCGAATCTTGATTCGTCTGAGAACAATACGGTCTTCCAAAAGTCCAGAGGCTTGGTCATCATATCACTTGCCTACTTCTTTCGTCTGACTATGTTGGTAGGTCTTAATAAGGGCTTCCGTCTAGCTGCTCTGCAACGATAACCCAATCTGTGGAAAATCCGTTGAACAGATTTGGGGCTCATCCCACCAACTTTGGTCACTTCTGCAGTCGTTAATCTGGGATCCATTTCGATGCTCCTCTTGACAGCCCTTTTTGTCCTCTCCGATGGACCAGGACGACCCAGACGCTGCTCAGTTGTTTCCTTGCCGTGTTCCCTGAACTGCACGATGATTCTGTTGACTGTCGAAAGCGGGATCAAAAATTTTAGTTGTAAAAATAACGTATAGAGTTTCAGACTCATATGAGAAATATCTCTATTTTTTGACTAAGCAAGTTACTTTTCTAAAATCAGTTGTTGAACAAGAATATTCAATATAATACTGTATTCTTTTTGCACCCGGTGGCTCAGCAGTAAATCTTACGGCTTAGAACGCTAAAATTCGGATTACGTTACTCGCTGTAGGCATAGATGACTTTCGAAAGGCTCACCCACATAATGTTTAAGTTTTGAAAGACTCATAGTGGGTAACAATTAAGACAAAGTTAAACATCAACAATTTCCTAGTGGGTAACAGATAAAACATAAGCTCAGGCTTAATAAGTTCACGGTAATATGATCATTTTTCAATATAATCTGATTGTCCAGTCTATTAAGACTTTCCAGCACACCTCGACAAATAACATCATAAAATCAGTTACTTTTCATATGCAAGCAGTTGTGTATAACATTCCACTTGCTTGCATATGTAAAATAACTGATTTTTTTATGTTTCAAGTGATTGCCTGAGTTGTTTACTTGTACAAAATAGTTAATATGAGCAAGAATCTCTCAGACTTTTCAAAGAAAGTGGTAATGGCTACTTATCTAGCTAGAATATGGTTATCAAAGGTTGTTTCTGCTCAATAACAGCTGTCATCAGCGTTTATTAACAATGGCAAAAGAAAGATAATACTTTTGCCATTAGGAAAGCTTGTAACTTCCAACTGCTGGTGTATGACTACTGAGAGAAAGGACGATTGTATAATATTATAATAACGAGTGATCAACATAGCTTTACATCATCATTACATGAGTTTCAGGATGGAGCTCTGAGGGAGGATTTCTCACTCCCTCAACATGACGTTTCATATTAGTCTGGTAGGTATTGTAGATATGGAATTCCTCCCCCAAAAGTAATCCCAGATAGAATTGATTGATATCTTAAGAAATTTTAGACAGTACATTATCACAGAAATTTCTTCAGTGGCGTTATGTGAACAATGTGATTAAAATTATCGTCTATAAAAATAAAATCAGGTCCAATGGCACAAACGGAAGGACTGGCAATGGTGGCTAGGATCTCGCTCTTATAACATAGAACTCAGAGCAGATTTTACATGATTCACAAATCAGTATATCCATTGGAATTGGTACATCCTCCACCATCAGAGGATCAACTCAGAACCTATCATGCTTAGTTACTGTGGAATGAATAAAGGAGATCGTCTTGTGTAAAAATAAGAAATATTTCGATTTTAAAGAAGTAAGACGTAAGAAGTTTTCTCAAGCTATTTTAAAGTTATGCAGAAAATATGTATTTCTTCCTGGAGACCTTTGAACACAACAGCTTTCATTAAGTTGGTACACTAACTGATATTATGAACTTATTGATATCTTACAAGACTAAATACTTGTAGCTTTATCGAATTCCTGTAAAAACATTCACTATACAGAATGAGTTCATTTTGACGTTCTTTCCTCAGCTTCAATTTGGGGTCATGGTGGTTAAGTCAAGTAAGTTAGTCTTGTTCTTTGTCAGGGTTGTAGGAGTGAGTTGTGTAAGTCCATGACACTGGATATAAAAATATTGTTGTTGACATATCGTTACACTCATAAATACTTGTGATGATGATGATGAAGAGCATTAAAAATGTTCGGATGAATCTCGAGTACTTAGATAACTTAACTTTACTTCTTATTCAACCATACACACTCTGGTCTTCTTGATGACTTTTGACGATTTGACATTCTTAACTTGAAAGAGGAGATCTGAAAGTTCAATTCTACCAAACGAAAAAAAAAAGGCATTAGATGGCACTTGATCTTTTGACTCATTTTGAACTATCATGAGATTATGTAATATTGTTCACGTCGTTTGCCACATTGAATTGTGAATGTAGGTGTATAAACTGGGAAAAGCATGGTGGTTATACTTGTAAAACCACAACTGTTAGATTGTAAGAAGTCGCTTTAATCTTTCCATTATCCATTAGTGGACAATACTCTGCTAGCTTCCTCCACACCACCTGTACTCCAAATAATGACCCAAAATGCTAATATTTTCATTACAGCCCTAAAAACTTCGCTAATGGATAATAATAAATCCTAACTCATATAAACTAGGAAGCCTTTGATGCGTTTATGCTTCAATTTTTGTTTACATATTGAAAGCAAGATCAGCTAAAAGTTTGATGTTTGTTATACTTTATCGCAAAGATACACAATAAGCCCTCTGCGCTCTGTCCACACTGCGCTCTGTCCTTGAAAGTTTGGAAATTTACAGCTGACGGAGTAGCTTAAAACTAAGAACTAACTTATAAAGTTATGAAGCTAATTCTATAAAACAAACTAACTAGAAGTGCATAATGTTATTATTCAATACACACACACACAAAGTAAAAGTTACAGTTATTATAATGCATCAAATCACCAGCTGGAGATCCGTTATTAACACAAGTTTCAATTGTAATAGCAATAACATTTTTAATTTACATCACAGTTCTTACTTGCAAGTGAGCATTCGCAGTCTAAGTAGTTCAAAGTCAAAGATGGAAGATTAGTACACAATAATTTATTTCAGTGAACTGTGAATGAACTTATGTATCTTTTTAACAATAACTTAAACCGAGGAGATAACAAGTGGCACATTCGCAATATCTCAAAACACCTACAGCGACCTCATTCTGCTGTTTTAGACATTATATTTCTTAATAAGCACGTTTTCTCTCTTTCTTTTCTGTTCCTCAACCATAATTATTTATTGCATTTCGGTGGTAGTAAAAACAGTTAATGTGGGATAATTTTATTTGTTTGTTTCATAATTAAGCACAGACCTTCACAAGGGTATTTGGAAATAGCCATCCCACATTTTCAGCTGATAAACTAGAGAAAAAGCAACTAGTCAACAGCACCCACCGCAAACTCTTGGCCTAGTAATGTCTGAACAAATAATAGGATTTGACGGTCGCTCTTGAAGAGCACCCTTGGTCCTAAAGCGAGAGTACATTTCTTGTGATGGTTAAATGATAAAAAAGAAAGAGAAAACACCATTGATCCAGTCACCTTGAAGCGCCATGATTATTACTAAAGGTAAAGAGAGTACATTTCTTGTGATGGTTAAATGATAAAAAAGAAAGAGAAAACACCATTGATCCAGTCACCTTGAAGCGCTATGATTATTACTAAAGGTAAAATATCTGAGATGCTTATAGCACGTTTATTACGGTTATCACCAAACAATCACGAGGTCTATTCTATAATTTCGCCATTTGCCGTCTGTTAGTAAAAGCCAACCATACACTGTTATGTATTAGAGATGTGTATGAGGGATTCAGTGGGACATATCATTGATAAATAACTGAAAAAAGTTTGCTTAAAGAACAAAACAAAAAGTTTGAATTCTAAAAAAAAAAAAAAAAATTCTAAATCCATTTGGTTTGGGTTCACAAAAATTAGCCTTATCACGATTTGTACCTGACATATTGGAAATCGAATAAATTCATTGGGATAAAATGATTTTGCATTCGTTCTGATGAAGAAAGTAAAAAATAAATAAAAATAAAATAAAGTTAGCTTTAATTTCAGTTAGAAACAGCCCTAAGTGATATGTCAGCAATTCACAAACCCATGGGTCTGATAAGCCTGTAAGGCCAAAAATGCAGTGTGAAAGTTGTATTCTAACACAGCATGAGAAAAATGACATAGGCTCTATAATTCTGGTGGAAAGTGCATCAGTTTGCTAGATTTTGTCCAAGTTTATCTATTGTAGTAGGTTGTTTGACTACTAGGTGCCACTACTTTGGTAAAGCACAGCAATTGAGCTTGTTTCTGTGTTCTGATAATGACAATAACTCTACTGTCATTCATGAGACTTTACTGCATTGGACTGTGTGTATGTGTACATGTATATTTTGAAGTGAACAACACAAAATGTTCTGATAATGATAGTAATTCTACTGTCATTCATGGGACTTTACTGTATTGGACTGTGTGTATGTGTATATGTATATTTTGTAGTGAGCAACACAAAATGCGACCTGAATGGAAAATTAGGCAGAATTCAATATTTCTGGTGATTTCTGTTTATGAATACTTTTATTTCCATGAAATTATCCAAGTTGGTGTTCTTCTTATCCATTACGAGGCACTGCAGGATGCGGGAGCAACAACCAATATTGGCATTGTTTTTCTGTTATTGGGAAGAATATTGACGTCACGTACTGTAGGTATATGCCGGTAAATATGTGACTTTTCAATATTTGGGTGTGTACATTAGTACAAATCTATCTAACTGCATGAATAGACCAGTTTCAATTCATTTAATTATGCTGGCAAACTTAAAATCTAAAAGGACAAATTTTTCATGCAAAAAGAAATTTTACTTGAGAATTGAAATGTGTGTCTGTTTGATAGAGATTGCAGGCATGACCTTAGGCTACAACGAGAGACAACAAACAACAAATGGTGTGCTCTTTATTTACATGATGTTGGTAAATAATATGTTTGGGTAGTCCTAAAGTGAGATAATCATAATGCGTGGTGTTTCACTGAGAAAAGTACACAAAAAAAAACTTCAATGGTAATCTACACTACACCAAGTGAGAAACATGATGATGCCAGTGTTTTCACTCATTTTGGTAAAAGTTTTTGTTAAACAAAAGGCGCACAATGGTCTATCTATTCTGTGCCCAGAAACCTGATTTTTAGCATTATACGCCTGGAAGTTTTATATGCTTAGCAAAACTTAATGTAGCTTTTGTTTTCTAGTACTCGTGATTTAGAAATTACATTAGTCTGCTTTATTGAACTGTTTTGGGAACCTTATGGATATTACTCAAAGCTTCATTTCAGTCCATCTTCTAAACAGATCAGCGGTTATATATATTTAGGGTTTGTTTTTGAATTTCGCGCAAAGCTATACGAGGGCTATCTGCTTTAGCCGTCCATAATTTAGCAGTGTAAGACTAGAGGAAAGGCAACTAGTCATCACCACCCACTGCCAACTTTTGGGCTACTCTTTTTCCAACGAATAATGGGATTGACCGTCACTTATAACGCCCCCACGGCTGAAAGGGTGAGTAAGTTTGGTGGGATGGGGATTCGAACACGCGACCCGCAGATTGCGAGTCGAGCGCCCTAACCAACTGGCCATGCCGGGCCATATATATATTTAGGGAAGATGTGTTTATTTATGTTTTTGCAATATAACAATTTCATGTTCTGTACATGAACATAGAATGGAGTGATGGTTAGAGCATTAGACTCGCAATCTGTGGATCGTGGATCGAACCCCGTCGCCGCCCTTTAAGTAGTGGGAGTTATAATGTAACGGTCAATCCTATTTTCCGTAGGTAAAGAGTAAAGCAAAAGTTGGTGGTAGATAGTTTTGACTAGCAGCCGTCCCTCTAGTCTATTACTTCGAAATTAGGGACGGCTAGCGCAGATAGTCCTCGGTTAGCCTACAACAGTGACCATCACGTAGAATTTATACTTGCTTGTCTATACTTCTGTGTCATCGCTACTTTACAATAAGGTTGAAGCTTATGTGAAAGGATATTACGGAATTATTTACAGGTTATCATAAGCTGGGGAGCTGTTTGGGTTGGTGGGAGATCGAGCTTAGTGGAGTGCGTTGGCAACATAAATTTTGCGAAATACGTCGAAATATTGGAGGAAGGACTCTTGCCACTTTATTCCTCGGGTTTTCGTGGACAAGAGCACAACGTTGTTCCAGGAATAATAATGGCTGAAGACTGCTTGAATGGGTAATGAAGAAAAACTTTAATATAAGTTTAACCGCAAATGTACAACGTTTCGACAAAGTTTTGTCATCATCAGGTACAAGTAATTTGCACTGACACGGATATATATATATATATATATATAC